ATTCTTGTAGTGCAAAGTGGCTTGTGTTTCATTTCAGTTCGAATTTCTGACGTAGAACTGTTCTGTGTAGGAAATAACTAATTTCTAGTCCCATGTGGTTACTTTTTGGTTGATACATAATTTTACTATACTGTACAGTATGATATTATCAGGTGTCGCCTGAATCGTCCACGCTGGAAATACAGTACGATATTGTAGTCTAATGTGACGAAAGCTTATTTCTCTAACCAAACTGAATCTTGCTGATTTGTTATGGTACATTAGGTCAAGTTTGGCTTGGGTTGGATTATCTTTGAAAAGGCTGAAGATTCCGGTGTAAAGTTTTTGCAGTAGCGAAGGAATTAATTATGGACACGAGGCATAAAAATGGAAAGAGCCAACATTTTCAAAATGAATTCCCGCGACGTTATATTTTCAACATGATGTTGGAATATCAGATCGAACTCTCCGAGTGTTTCATTTTGATTTACCTTATTTACGCGAATATAAACACTATTTTTCAATTTTAGAAGCTCAGAAACTAGGGGTGCTTTATTCGCATATTCGTGCAACGGACGCAATTATGCGTCATTGTTAAGAATTTTTCATGTTCGCGGCCTACAAAACGATGGAGTACTTCGATTTTTAAATTATTTGGGAATTTAAATTACGAATAATCAAGAAATGGTCCGTTTTTAGCACCTCAAAATGCCTGAGTCATTTAATAAATGGGAAGAGCATCGGTTTTTTGACACCGTTTTTCCTTCTCCGGGAAAATTCTAAATTTAGTCAGACACTTCAGGTTCTTGGAAAGTTTGAACACCAGGAAAGTAAGTGGTTCTCGATAACTCGAACCTCCCTAAGTCGAAAACCCTCCTAAGTCGAATTTTTTTTTCAGGGCTGTCTGAATCCCCTTAGAACTAATGCATTTAAAACCTCCGTAAGTCGAATTTTCTGTGGCCTGTTGGCTTTCATTTTCTTGACACAGGAAAGAAAAAATGCAATAAAACATAAATTGATTTGTTTTAAAATGAGGTGAGAGACTTAATTGGGCAAATGAACCCTGCCTCCAAGTTCAGGATGCTCTCAACTCATTTGAAGAAGTAATTTCAGCCTCAGAAGATTACAATTTACAATTTTGAGCAATTTTTATGTTTCCCAACACAAAAGGGCTTTTTATTGTATATAAATTCAAAACCTCCCTAAGTCGAATTTTTTTGATGGTCCCATGAAGTTCGATTTAGAGAGGTTCAACATTCGCCTATTGATTGAATTTTAATTTTGTAAATAAAAATAAATAAATAAAGTGATCATACGGTTTTCGCGTAAATATGGTATTCACTGTGAGCTCGTTTCTTTCTGTGGGCGCACTCCTGTGGATCCCGTTCCACTTAAAAAAAAAATATTCATAAAAAATTGAAAATTTGGGTACGATTTGCATTTGAAAAGCGGATTCTTACTAAAAGTACGCGTTTAAAATTGCAGGGATGAAGTGGACTGGTCATCGGCTCTTGCTTCTGACATTGTAAGGGTACACCTCGTGGATCACAATTTATTTTCCAAGCGAGAAAATGAACTAGGATCTCGATTCTTCGATAAAATCGTGGAAGTTGTTGACCATCACGTTGAACAAACCCGATTCGACGCAGCAGTCGAGCTGAATATTCATCGAGTTGGTTCTTGTGCTTCACTAGTTCATGGTCTCTTTGTCAAAAGTGAACGTGGTATTCCGCCCCTTCTCGCTCGGTTGCTCCTCGGTTTGTAGTTGATTAACATGCCAAGTACTTTCTGAATCAACGAACTTCTCCATCAGGTCCGATTATTGTGGACACGGTGAATCTCAGTCCTGCTGCAAAAGTGGCGACAGATGTGGACCAAACCGCGTTGGCGAAATTAGAAGAAGTTCTGCTGTCTTCGGAGGAATCCGAATCTTGGGACCGTAACAAGCAGTTTAGTCGGTTGCTAGCTGCCAAATCCGACGTTTCTAGTCTGACGTCATTGCAGATTTTGCTAAAAGACTTGAAACTTGTGAATCCTACGAAGGACGTCAATCCGGTCGCTGCAGTTCCTACTATCCCCATGAAAGTTTCAGTAAGTTTGAATGTTATGCTGTTCATGTTACTCATTTTGGTAATATGCCCGATAAAACACGTTGACTGCACACGGGATAGTTTTTAGTGTGTTTAGTGGAACGAACGTAGAAGTTGATCGACAATTGTGAACGTGTATCTGCGGAATTTTTCACAAATGCCATTAGCTTGGAGAAGTCAATTCCTCGTTAATTGAGAAAAAATCCTTGCTGAACCCATCTCTAACATTCTCACTGAGAGGTTGATCATTGGCGCACAGGAGGAACCTAGAAAGTCATGGAACTTGAAACCGTTCAATGTATGATAAAAACGTCGCCATTGTTTCAGCAACGCTCATGAAAATTGATGAGTTCGATGAGAAAGTAGGAAAATGTATTGTATGCCACACACTTTTCATATGCGCCATATTCTTGCATTTTTAGGATAATGTTGAAATGAGTGGTTGATGTGAAATACATTTTCCTATTTACGGAAGCGTTTTTCTGGTATAAATTGAGATCCGTATTTTTTTTTTTCTTCTCGAATTCACAGACATTTTTGAAGCGAGAAGACTGGGAAAAGGCATTGGAAGAGCTTCAACTGCTGCATCGTGTCAAAGTAATAGTCGTGATGGGAGTCGTTTGCAGTGATGACCAGAACCTCGAACGTGATTTGGGACTGTTTTGGGGAGATGCTGTGGTATCACAGCTCGTGAGTCTCTGTTAAAAAGTTTCTTTTACATGTACATTTGACGCGAGTTTGAATAATTTTTCAGGTTCTTGACGGATTCTTCTCTGACAAAGGCAGTACGCTTGAATTAGAAGCAGTGGGCGAATTATCCGGCGATCGCTTCAAGTATTTTCGACAGAAGAACTTCCGTGCGACGCGTAAATTTATTTTACCTTTAGTTTTGGAATCGATTAACAACGGTGCTCAGTCTGCTGCGACTTGATTGTGGATTTCGTATGTGGAAGTAATGATGATGTGTGAAAAGTTTACCCTCGTGCGAAAAACGCAATTGTGATTCTCAATTATTTCATGTTTTCTTTTTCTTCATATGTGATAAAAGAAATGGATTCATCCGATCTCGGCGTCTAGTCTGACATTTTTGTTCCGTGGTCGTGGTGTTTATTCTTTACTTGAGTCAGTTTATTTCTTTGCCGTCAATAGAATTGAAAGTATCCTGAACGGAGATGCAGAGTGAGGACTGTGTGAGCGGCGTTGAAAATCTTGCGTTGTCGAATCCAGCTTCGAATTTGCCCACGCCGAGTTCTTCCGGACCGTATCTTGTGGTCCCTAATGGATTTCATCCTGCTCACGCCACAAGTGCAGCACAAATGATGTCTGCTGAACAAATCAGCTTGGTAAGTTCTTTGTTTGCCTCGAGCTTTTTTCCCGAGTATTACGTTCTAAGTACCGTTCTAGTCGAGTACCACGGACACCTTTTTCTTCAATTTGAAACGAAAAAAATGGAGGGGGGGGGGTTGGTTTGCTCGTCGAAGGCGGATGTAAAATTTTTCAAAAAGCTTTAGAAGTTTATGTCTACATTATACTGTCCTGGATTCTGATGGGAAATTTAGAATCAATTTTAATGGAAAAAATTGAAAATTATTTGAATACCGGTTCAATATGTGTCGGAATTCTAATTTGGGTGTTCTTACTTTTGAAATACAGTACAGTATTGCAGTTTCAAATTCATTAAAAATGGGTTGTGTTTCCTACTAGGGGATACAATTTTATCAACATTTAGGACTGAAAAACTCTTGGTGCACGGCTTACTTGAGGGCGCGTGGTACTCGAGTAAATACAGTGTTTAAAAAGTTGAGTGTTCCTTCCTTTCTATTCATTTATGTATTTTTTTTTCACTTCCAGACGTCAAGTTTTCTTTCGTGACGCACATGTTCTGAAATTTCAATTTTTGTTCCAAGGAACTGTAAGCCCTGATAATCTCTCACGTTCTCCGTTTATTTCCCATGCGTGAAGTCTTTTGTTAGGATTATGTTTTAGTATTCAATACCGGTTCACTTGAATTACCCGGCCTTTGACAAACATGGCATTTGATTTTCTCCGCAAAATGTTAATCCGTCCGGAATAAATTTAGTAGGCTTTGAGTGATTTTTTTCTTTCTCTAATCGACCACTATTTATCTGCGGTAATGTGTGTTGATATTTTATGAGGGTATGCCTGGGAATGTCAGTTATTTCCTATGAGATCATTCATGAATTCCTTTGATCATTCGACCGACATTTTTTTTCTTCAACATTTTATTGTACTGACGAAGACATCCGAGATTCATCCTGATTTCAAAAATCCAATGCTGTCTTTCTTGGGAGGGGCATGTATTGAAGTGGCAACGACAATTTTTATGCTTCTTTAATCTTCATCAGGGTATTCAAGTTATAACAACTGTTGATATGATTTTTGTACAATGCTTCTATTCTCTTGAGATGTGTTAGTGTTGAATGCGGTACAATATTGTGATCCTTGCTTTTTTCGGAGAAATTGTACATGATCTTCCGTTATTCACAATTTTCTGCACGTGCTTCTTCGACGCCTGCTTTTTGAAACTTCTGAGAGCTGTTCCTCGATTTTATTGATTCCGCCAACTTCATCCAGCAATTTTTCAGCAAATCAAAGAAAGTCGCGTGAAGCCATTGTTTCGTAGCCAGGGAAAACAGCTGCGTCATCTGCGTGCATGAGATTAAATGTTCAAAATTATCAAAGAAGCCGTATTTTCTCAGGAAGGTGAAAAAAATAATCACATCGTATTATTCAATCAAGCTCCTCGTTTTAAAATCGGGATTATCCTATTGTGTCGTTTTTTTGATGTAACGAATTCATTTTCTGTTTTTGCATCCGTATAGAAAATCCCGTTTCCCGAGACTCCACCGTAATAATCTGATTCACCCTCGCATTTTCGTGCGTTTTTTCCCCCCCACCAGAACAATTCCCAGAGCTCATCCGCGTACAACTCGTGCCCGTACACGCCTTTGAACAGTGTTGCGGATGAAGAGGAAGACGAGATGGACGACTTGAGCGCGAGCGCGTCTCGTCGCAGTCGTGCTTCGTCTACTGCCCCTACTCCACCGAGCCATTCCAGAGGAGAATTGCGTCGTCAGTTGGGGCCGCGAAATCAGGACATCCTGCCCAGCTTCAATTCCAGGGACATGTTGGAGAGGATTGAGTACAAGCGTCGAAACATGCGCGCTGCGCGAGGAATGGAATTTGCTGCTTCTGGCGAAACCTCGCCGAATCCGTATCCCTTCACTCCGAAGAACTCGTATGTGGAGTCTTCGTTTGACGAGGCCTACAGGTGAATTAATGATGTACATCAGATTACGACAGTTCCTTTTTCTTTTATTGGTAGTGTGTAACTGACAGTGAGTTTCCAGTCACACAATAAGTCGCTGTCTTTCAAAGTGTGACGCCGTGTGTAAATTAAACGCAGTCGAAAACGCAATTTAGTCGCATGAAATACTTCGAATAATTGGAATTTTATACGTATTGTGCTTGGTAAAAGAGCAGAGCTGTTTTTTTTTTTTAGATTTTGTTTACATGGCGTCTTGCATCAGGTGCCACGATGAAGGAATCATCAATTTTTCCAGGAAAGCCTCCGCTTTATTCTCTAAATTTTCAATGAAGGAAGGTGTCCTGCAATAACAAAAGTATTTTCAACAATTTTAATTTTAAAAATAGCATGTTTACAATTATCCTGAGTTCTTAAATGAGCATTGACTTGTGATTCCCTCTAATGATCCAATGATATCCATAGAAAGTGCCTTCACTTTTTAATTTTTTGGCCCATTTTTCATCCATTGCTAGGAATTTTCGTGCCTTCGAATTCAGGCTTTCGCGTAAGAACCAAATGGAGGTAACTTTGATCCATTGAAGTTGAGGTACTAAACTGAGGGTTAACTGTAATGCTAATATAATGTTGCTCAGTTCCACCCTCCAAGTGAGCAAAAAATGAATAGCTCCCCCGAATCCAATCATGAAGCTCAACAGGAGCGCCCTTATGTCAGTGCTGTTCTCTTATTTTTATTTTTTGTGTCCATCTTAGAAATCGAGTGATGAATGGACTGGAAAATTTGGAACCAGATCAAATCGCCAAGAAAGTTGAAGAGAAAAAGAAATTTTATCGTTTGGACCTGGACGAAGCTCAGGGATTCTTGCACGGCATCGCAGAAGCCGACGATGATCACGATTTTCTCGTGCCATTCCAGATTGAACTGGACTCGACGACTCCGAACTGAAGAGTCTCGACTAACTTCATCGCGCGTAGTTGTACATTTCGGCTTAGGAAACTGCACTTTCCTTTTCTTTTTGTTGATCGTTCTACTTTCCATTCTAAGTCGGCATTTTTGTTTGCTTATTTTGTTTGTTTAATCTCTTGCGCAGGATTGTTTTTTTTTTGGTTATGTTTTGTTGAAAGTTGCTTCCACACTCGGAAAAATCGTTAACTAGCTGCGTTAGCTGTATCAGGAAATCGTATGAGAAGAAAAACCAAGCGAATGACTGAGATAGCGGAACTTCGTGATGCGTGCTGATCATGAGTTGTTCTGCAAACTGTATTTAGCAAAACTGATGCCGCTATCCTCGTGAAAGAAAAAGCAGAGAAATGCGAAACGGAAACTTTTTTTTAAAAATTTCGGTAGATTTTTTTCGTGTCAGTTATTGGACTAAAGGCGGCTCACGTTCATTTTCGAAAGTTGGGACGAACCCAAGGGTGCGATTTTTTTTTTTGCTCATGTGAAAATTGAGTCATGCGAAACGGAGGAGTGATTGAGTTTCTTTTTTTTTATTCTGCATATTTTGACGTTTCTGATTTTTTTTTTCGCCTGTCGAAATGTTTTTGGGAATTTCTGGCGTGGAAGAAGCAGTTCGGTTGCATATTGATATTTCTTGGAAGAGATTTGTTGCTGAATGCTAGTGCTTCCCGCATGTGTACTTAGTTTTCTTTCGGGCTTGAAAATGTTCGTTTTGCCTCGATTGGATTGCTTTGATGAGATGTGCTTGTTGATTCAATTGCAGATAAATGTGAAAGGCTGCGTGCTTACACGAGGCTGTGATCCAGGAAAATGGTATGTTCAGGTTTATTTGTGACGATGGAAACGAAAAATGTTTTTGCAATTATGATTTTAATGTATAGAAATTCCGATTCTGCGGCGACCTCGACTGTCCAGACTGGATTCTGGCTGGCATTTCAGCGCTTAGTGGAGTGGTATGTGTGTCATTGTCTTACATTTCATGTGCATGGGCTGTTGAGTTAAAATTTTGAGTGCTGTCTGAGAGGTTTTCTATCTTGCAGTCTTCTATAAAAGTGAAAACCATGGGAGCTGCTGTCATTAGTGGTCTTCTTGGAGACAACTTCGATGTGAGTGGGATTTCGTGCATGGAAAACTTGAAAAAGAGAAAAAAAAAGTTTTTAACGTGAAATATTCCGTGGTGAAATCGATTTGTTTTTGCAGATTGAGAAAGTTAGGAAACAGTGGCCAGCAAAAGCAGCAGGTGAGATGTTATGAGAGTCTTTTTCGAGAATTGTACTAGTCCAAAAATGTTAACAGTTCGCATTCCCACGTAATTTTTAAAGCAATTTTGGCTTGGTTTGATTACAAATGAAATAAGTGCTAGTCATTTACACTGTTCGTCTTGGCACTTATTAAACTTACCCGATTTTTGTCTCATCGTTGAAATGTTCATTAGTGCGTTTGTTTTGAATACCTCATTCTCGACCTTGGTGGGCTAAAATTACTCGGCGTTGTTTCGAAAATGAGGAGCGATCATCTGCATGTTATTCGCAAATCGGCACATAAAAAGAAAATTTCCCTCGTGACTCATCGAAGCTGTTCAGACTCCTCAGAGAGATAAAAATGATTTATTTTTCTTATGAAAAGGGGATGCCTCTGATGGAAAAGACGGGGAAATTGACAAAGAGCTGAGCCTCTGTTGCAGCACATTGGAGTTTATTTTTCATTCAGCTGCGAAAAATGCGGTAGATTTGAAAGTCCTTGGTGAAGAACTGCAACAGCTTGGTCTCCCGAAAGAGCATGCGACAGCCTTGAGTAAACTGCATTCCAGCCACGGAGACGATTTGAAGTCCTTTTGCAATCAGAACTCCCTCAGAGGTGAGAATTTCCTTCGTCGGTTGTATTACAGTACCAGATTTCAGGGATAATTTATCGATTCAATTACTGTATTTTCCTTCGTGATTATTTACATCCTGGTGCAGTATTATTTGATGGAAAAATCTAAAAGTTTTTAAATTCGGGCGAAATCCAGGAATCAGCCGACAAAATCGTGGAGCCAAGGACCCTGAGCTGGAAAGTGGATAAATCCACTATTTCAGTAATCAGATAGTGTTGAGATGACAGTGTAATCTCTTCGTCGCTTACTGACAAAGTCAATTTTAGGTCCCTGTCAGATAGCAGCCATGTTCAATGAGTTAATTTATAACGAAATTTGTATTACAACGAAGCTTTTTTACGGGGCTCAATGACGTCATTGTAACGAGATTTTTTTTCAATTCCGTTTATACCTAATGGGAGAAATATTTCACTTGTCGCACGGAGACGAGGTTTTATCAGAATTCCTGTTCTAATTTCGGTTTTGTTTGAGTAAACTTATTACAGTACAGTACTATAATATTCTCAAAATACAGTAGGTTAATGTTTCGTAGCCTCCTTCTTTTTTCCCCCTGAAATTTTGCATTCGTATCTATATTTTTTGTTATGTAGACAGGCACTGTACTGTATTTATGGTTCTCGAGCGTCTGTTGAACCCTTTTGAATTTGAGACTGATCTTTTGTGCACTAGTAAATCCATTCCACGGAATCGAGTGGAAAGTGGTGATGTCACCTGGGGAAGGTTGCGAATGGGACTCAAGAGCCGTTGTAAACTTTCTCACGGAAGACCAACGTTCTAGTGAAAAAGTCCGCAATATCGTCTCGTTGGACCAACTGCAGTTAAGAGCTCTATTAACTGGTACGATTTCATCTTAAAATTTAAATTTTCAGCAACAGAAACCAAGTTTTATTCAAAATATGTTTTAGATCTCGAAGCAGCTCGGAACATCATGGATTCCATTTTGTGATGAAGAAGGGATTTCTTTGTTGAACAGTGAATATATACCCTTTTTGTATTTGACTTTCAAATGCGTTCTTCAGCGCGACGGTGCTTAAAAATTCCACTTTCGCCTGAATTTCTTCGTCATAAAGTCCAATCCTCGTGAGCAAGAAATTAAGCGTGATTTGATCCATTCGTCAAGTCCATCGCTCTGCTAGTTGCCGGACATGTGAGGGTCAGATGGTCGCATTGTTGGAATGCTTTGGCCTGTAAAAAGTGCTTGATCGAAGAGACCGAAGAAAAAGGCAGAATTTTCGAATAAAACTCACGTCATTGGCATTAAATGGCGAAAGGCATTCCGTGAAAGTGACATTGGCGATGTGGATGTGTCCGTTTCTGTCGGATGCGACGAGTGACCTGTGAAGTTTTGCGGATTTCTTCACCTTTCTCCTACCCGCGTGTGTCTCGGTTTTCTGTGCCTTTTCTTTCCTGTCCACCAGGAGCAGTGCTGGGAGAAGTTATATAATTTAATTATTCATATAAATTTTGAGAAGGTCCTTGATCATCAATTTGTGCGCCACTTATTTTTCGAATTGCCTTTTGTACATGTTTGGCATTGAATACAAAAGTATTGAACCTCGAATTCGGAAAAAATCAACTTAGTGTTTTCCTATCAGTATCATTTCCTGGTACAAATTTTTGGAAACAGCTTTTCCAGATTTTGCTACAGTTTGACCTTGCTAAGTGAAAACTCTCTCTGTCAATGTTTTTCATACAGTAGTTTCTGTATGAAATCCTATAAGAAACATGTGATATAGACCTCCCCAACTCAAAGAATTTCCTTCTCAAGTATCAACACCTCGAATTTTTAGAAGAAAAAATTCCATAAACCTTCACACCCAAGGAAGAAGTTTCGCTGGATTTTTTGGAGTTACATTTGTATGAAAATCCACCCCCAACTAAAATTAAGTCCCCATTTTCAGTGACTGAAAAAGTGTAATATTTTTAATGAAACATCTCAATATCTTAGAATTTGGCTTGAATGGAAACTGGATTTTCTTAATCTTCAATATTTGCCGTTAAACAAAACCATTTGGTAAAGAGGGGGTCAGAATCTCCATAAGAATCAAGTGTGATGCACGCTCAAACTACGGACATTTTGAAACATTTTACATCCGCTTATGATTTGCACCACTTTTTTGGTGAGAAAGTTGGTGCTTGTGGCCCTTGAGTAAACACGGTAAATTTTTTTCAGGTGGATTTCCATGGGGTTTTATGTTTCCTGTCGAGGAAAATTAGCTCTAAATTTGTCAAAATGGGCCATTCTGGTTGCATTTTGTTCTGTCTTTTTGTAATGTGTCATCAGAAGTTGCAGTTCATAGAATTTTACATTGTATTGACACTGCTGCAGAAGTTGTTTTGTCCATGGTGCACCCTATTTACCGTTTTGATTTTTTGTTTGTTTAGTCGATCGGGATTCTTTTCTTTGCCATGGAAAGATTTTAGGAGGGTCAGTGTTCAAGGGCGTTTTCACAAAAATCGCAAAGCTTACCCGAAATCTCGACAGTCGCGAACGCCACCGTGAGGAGAGGAGCGGAAGTATTTCTGAGCAAATCCCACACTTGCAACGTGCCATTCGTCATCCCCAGAACGAAAGTGGATCCTGCGGTACCGTGGGTTCGCCGCCGTCACTGCTAACGAAGGAGATCTCAGCCTGAGCGTCAACTGTTGGGCCCGTCCCTCCTAAGCGTTACGTGGTGTGGGGTCCTGACTCTCCAATGGGTTTCTTAGATCCGGGGTTGTTGCGGGTTGCACAGGAGACCCACTGGGTTCCCGAATCCGAGACTCATCATGCCCAAGGGAGGGATGTTCCTGAGTTTCTTGGACACGTCATCTCTGGTGCTGTCGCGAGTGTTTCCCGTGTAAAGGTTTCCTGTGTCCGTCACCCCGAGAATGAGGCTCATTGTTTTCTGAAAGGACTTGGGCTTCTTGAGAAGTTCTTCTGCCTTCGGCTTGGACCGGGTCTGTGGTACATCTGAGGGAATCAGACGCGTCTTCTGAATCCCGAGAAGTCGCCGTTTGCCTTGTTCTTGGAAAACGAGTTCCAGGGTGGGTTGCCACGTGTACCTTTGATGGATTAACATCTAACTTGTACAGGTTTCGTGCAGAAATGCTCTCTGGCTCTGCGTCACATTTTTTATGCAAATAATTCTAAGTGAGCTACGTAGGATGACATCCTCCGTATTGTAACGATTCTTTTCCTCGTGTAGATCAGCACGAAAAGGACGCGGAAATCTTACGTCGCTTCACCATGAGATTTACATGCGACATCTATGCATGCTCTTTTAATTTCCGAGTCTCCTAATTACAATACAGTACTCGTAAGAGTCCAAGTGCCATTAATAAACACGATGAAATGCGTTACACGTTTCTTGTGTAACGATGCGTCAAGTTCGGAATAACAAAAAGTCGTGCGTAAAACTTTTGTTTTGAAATTGTAGTGCTGTACTGTGCAGTACTTGTTTTCTGTTGTTTCTGATGATTTCGCCGAACTCATCCCGAAGTCCGTCTGAGTAAGCTCCCAAAACTTCGTGATGCTGTCTGCTCCAACCGAAACGAGCCAAGCGTCTTTCGTGTCAGCATCTCCAGCATTCTTCGCCTCGGATAAGCTCCACTCGCATTGCTCATCCTGAGAAAAGGTCCCTTGGAGCCAGAACAAGTCCATCACGGGTCCCTTGTGACTGAAGTTGAGCGTGTTGGTCATGCTCCACGTTATAACCGGAAGTTCTATGCTGTTGCTCGGAACAGCCTGACCTAAGAAGTTGGCTTTCCACAGTAGAACTGAGCCGTTTTCGAGACCTCCAGCGGCGATGTTGTATCTGGTTGGATGGAAGGCGAATGCGAGGATTTCACTTTGCGCTTCAAGCACGAGTTTTGGCTGCACTGGATCGGTTGTGCACCAGATAAGGGCTTGTCCTCTGGTCGGTTTGTGACCTTTATTGACGCCGTTGTTGAAAGACTGCTGCTTTTTCCACTGCAAGTTCACTCGATACGCTGCCCCGATGATGTCTGCAAAATCAATGGATTGACATGCGTTTCTTGATTATGTTATGATGGAATACAGTGTCCCTCAGTATAACCAAGAACTCGTAAGAATGAATTCGCGAAATTTACGTGAGAGAAAAGTGACTTCCTAAACGAAGTCATTTTCACGTAGTGGAAATTCGGAAGCCTACAACTAGACAGGGCATGAATGTGAGCACATGTGTTGTCTGAGTGACAAAGAATCTGAGATCATTCGGAAACCACGGTTGTTCCGGTTAGTTTTTCGAAAGAAAGGGACTCGTCTATTCACCAGGATCGTAAGGGTGAATCGCCAAAGATGACACGGTTTTGTTGGCACAAATGCTCAAGTAGTGAAGTGAGGTGTGCGATGAAATGGACTCCATATTATTGGTGGCATCCTGTTGATCGTTATCATCGTCATCGGCTTTGTAATCTTCCCCCTGTGATTGAGTTGACGAGTCCTGCGCTTTCAGTACCATCCAGTCCTCTCTGAAGCAGTCGACTATTTCGTTGTGGATGAGTCCATCCACTACTCTGTTGGAATAAAATGTTTATGAATCTTGTCAATGCTAGTGGTTCAAATTGTGTCATCCGTTCCACTGTTATCTGGGGCCTACGTTATCTGCCGCAAGATCTGCATCCTGCGCTTCTTTCAAAGACGATGTATTTCACCTCACGTGAGTTTTCAGTTTGTTATGGTGCGATGTAATAGATATTTCGGCGATGCTTGTGATTGAGATTTTCTTGATATTTTATTCAAAATGGGAAGACACGTTTTTTCCAGGATGCTCAATTGTCTTTTATATAGTTCGCTTCTCATTAACATTTCCTGTGGACTAACGAGTGGATTGTTTTTCGTTTTGATGAAAAAATTGAACTAAGTTCCTCAGTGATGTCATCAAATTAAATTCAAAGGATTTCTGAGAAAATTGAACTAAATTCGGGCTCGAAGTGGATTTTGATTAATAATGTTTAATGTGGGGAAAAAGGGGTTCCGAAACGAATATCATCGGACAATTGAATGCATAAATTATCAGATTAATTTTACTGTTACGGAGTAAATTAGTATTTTTTGTTCGAATACGGTTTCAATTTGAATCTATTTCTCTTGACGCGGCAAGAATTACGTCACTTAAATGCGGAGGGTGACACCTGTACACTGAAGCGGTATCATTTGATTTTGTCGTGCCTTCTTTTCAGACAAAAATTGCAAGATCTGTTAAAAATTCAAAATCTCACTTGTTAGTTGCGTTTTTTAGGAAATTCCTTATTCCAGGCGACTCGTAGATGTCGTCCAATTGAGACTCCTTGAAGAGCTGGGGTTGAAATTGAGTCCATGCATTCTTCGGATGCTTCAGAGTTGTTTGTCCAACTGCGTCCACGTAACTTGGAACAGCCTGTTTGCAGAAGCGTTTCAGTAATAAAGTTTTCCATGTCCGCCATATTTAAAAATTGATAAATACTGTGAATAGAATCTCATTTTAACGAATTATTGCCTACAAAATTTTTTTTTCTGATCCCTGTCCAATAGCCACGAAATTTTACTTTAATTTATTTAAAAAAAAACTTTTTTGTTACAGCAAAACCTTTTATTGGTCCTGGATGGCTTTTTTGTCGCAAAATTTTAGTATTTTCATATTCAGGAATCATATAGGCCTATAGGGCGTGATTTTAAAAATACCAGTGTACGTTTGATAAAATAAACAAACAAAAGAAGGAGTCAATTTAAGAGACAATTTTAATGATATTTCAATGCTTTGACCTTGTATTCTTTTCAAGGAAATGAATCCAAAATGGAATTTTTTCCAAGAAATAGGCTTTTTTTCAAAATATCAGAATGCAATACTTTTCATGTTGTTACAGATGTTTGATTGTAAAGAAGAAGTCTATTGCAAAAACAATTCTTTGATTGGTTCCCTTTTGAGTACTTCAACAGCATTGAATGATAAGTTCTCTCATTTAATTCCAACTACAGTATGTCAGGGACATTAAAATCTTTCCATCCTCCTCCTCTCCCTTCTCATAAAGTCCATTTTATATTTGTATTTTTCAGTATTATAAAAGTCCATTGATGTGTTGGGAATAATGTCACCTGGTGTTTTTTTAAACCAATTTTCTTGAAAAATTGCAGACCAAAAGGCAGAAACACTGTTAGTCCTTGAAGTCTCTGTTAATTCATCCATCTTTTTTTTTTTTCATCCAAATTTCACTGGAATTTATAAAATGGTGCCAATTAATGTATATTACCCCTTAAAATGTAAAGGAACAATACTGATAAATATTGTAATTACGAGGGTTCTAACAAAAGTTCTCGGAGTCGACCACAAGCCATCACCAGAGATGGATGAACATTTTTTTATTGGATTCCTCATCCTTTTTTAAGCTAGAACCAATTTTTTTTTCATCCCTAGACAAAAAATGGAAACTGGGAAAAAAAATTGAATGAGTTTTTTTTGGTGCTGTGCCCATCCATTCCAACAGAAGTTCTTAAAAAGGATGAGGAATCCTATAAAAAAATCCACGTCCATCTCCAGTGAAGGTTTGTGGTTGATTCCAAGAACTTCTGTTAGAATGGGTGGGCACATCACCAGAAAAAACTCATTCAATTTTTTTCCCAGTTTCCATTTTTGTCTAGGGATGACAAAAAAATTGGTCCTGGGCTAAAAAAGGATGAGGAATCCAATAAAAAAATGTTCATCCACCTCCGGCAATGCCTTGTGGTTGACTCCGAGAACTTTTGTTAGAACCCTCGTATAAGAATGCCGTAATTAATTTTCTTTTAATAAAATTCAGCCCAAGCCAACCTGGACACTGGCATCATGGAGCAGTAAACGGGTTACATCAAGTTCTTTCACAGTTTCTTCTTCCTCCGATTTTGTAGAGCCTTGAACTTTGAAGTGGTTTGTTTCTGTCCATGTCAAGAGTTTTTCACGATTTGTCAGAGCAGATGCCCGTATCTTCACTGCATGCTGAAGAAAATGTACTCAGATCAATGAGTCCACATGCTGGATCAAGTTTCCCAAATAAATTTCAATGGAGACAATCATTCCACTTGTTTCAGCAGAAAATTGGGAAAAACTAATCAACGAATGCAAGAAAATATTTTTTTTTACATTTCAAAATAAGAATGACTGCAGAAGAAAATTATACAAAAGCTGCCTTTTTGTATAAAACTGAATAAAAAAAATAAGCACACATACTGCCGTACTGTTCCGCATTGGTAAAGAAACACTAAAAAGGAAATAAATTTAAAAGCAGCGTGATTTGGAAAATAAATTAGGGAAATTTATGACTAAAAGTTTTTTCAGTATTATGCCCATGGGAATACAGTAGCTCAATTCTTTATTATTTATCTCAAGGTTTTTGAAATCATATGTATTCATTTTTTTAGAAGCGTTGGCAATATCTGGAGGCATTGTCTGGATGTTGGGGCTGACTTTTTGAATTTGGTGTCCATTAGTCAAATCCTCTGCGTGTTGGGAGACCTGTTGTACAGTATGTGTCAGAAATCCCACATTTATTATTTTTCTGGACCTTTTCAAGTGTGAACACATACGTTTTCCACGTGGAATTTTTACGAAATTATCTTGAGCATTTTTTTTATTTGATTTTAAATTGCAAGGACATACTTTTCCTCTTAAGCTATTCACCTCAAATATTGATGTACAGTGCATTACTTTGATTTGTGGTCATTTTTTTATGTGATTTAAAACACTCAACAATTTTTTTTTTTTTACAGTGAAGTTGGGATGCTGTATCCAATATACAGTGAGACCCCAACATGCGGACACCTTGACGTGCGGACAATTCGACATAGGGACACTTATTTCATCATAAAAAATTAATTAAAAAGGCCCAACATGAGGACACTGACTCAACATAGGGACATTTTGTTATAAAATTGCGAATACATTTCAGGCCAAATTACCAACCCTAAAATTGATGTAAGAAAAGTTCTTGAGATTTATTTTCATGGAATTATGGTGAGTATTTTGAAAATGAAACACCAATTAAAAATTATATAATGTAAGTCTAAGGGAAAATGAGACTCGACTTAGGGACACTCTTGATGCACCAATCATGTCCGCATCTCAGGGTCTCACTGTAGCTTGGATTTGTCTTGTGTAAAAATTCATGAAAATATTGTGTGTTCGTATATTTTCACCTTTTTTCTTGAGTCGTGGATTGTCAAATGGATAACTTCTTGTTCACTTCCGAAAGACTTCCAGGGTTTTGCTTGTATCGGTTTGTATTCCATTTCTGCCTCCTCTTTGATGAGGTTCATCACGGTTGCCTTTGCATCCTCTGTGTAGCACATCAAGTATTTGGTTCCGTAACTGCAATCTTCGTCGAATAAAATCAGGATTTCCTCCCCGGGGTATGTCTGCAAAAATCAGTTATATATTCGAGTCCTTGGTGGCATTTATTTTTTGTTTTGCTTAAAAAAACCCAACGTGTCCTTCGTTAATTGAGCGGAAGGAATCAATAATTGTGCTCGCAACAGGAAAAGGGAAAAAAAAGTATGCTACGACTTTCTCCAGTCAAAATACCTTGTTTATGATTTATTATTATTTTTAATCAATTCACAGTAAAATATCTCAACAACGAAGCCACTGGGACCAGTGAAATAACTTCGTTGTAAAGAGAAATCCGCTATGAGGAAACTCGAATAACATTGCAACTATTTGAGATGGACCCATAAACGGATTCGTACATTTTTCTTGAAATTTTTGTAATTCTAAAACAACCCAAAATTAAGAAAGTAGTAAATTCTGGTATTGTAATTAAGAACGATCGAATCTCATCACAACGAATCTCGTTATAAAGCTTTAAAATATTTTTGTTCTGTTTTGGTCCCTGTCCAATAGCCATAATGATATTTTAAATTTTGTTTTAAATAATTTTTGTTTATAAAATGCTTTTTTTAGGCTCTAAACGCTTCGTTAATTGTTACGATTTCTACTGTATCAAGCAATGTTCCCTCATGTTGAACATTTTGTGATGGGGTTTTTTTTTACTTTCACGTGGGAACCCAATGTAATTCTGAATACTGTATGAACAATAAATACCCTCAGTCCACAAAATAAGTTATGATGATGACACGTGCGCTGACTCACCTCCAGAAGATCCTTTATGTGAAAAAAGTCTGATTTCTCCTCCTGATGCGAGATTTCATCAGACAGGATTCGCTTTCTGATTTTGAAATGGGCGGGGTCCGTGGAAAGACCTCCGCGGATAAGTTTCGCATTGGCTTGCAGCCATTCTTGCGTAGCATCCGATATATCCAGTGTGAAGATCCCTTGGAGAAGCTCTGTCCTTTGAAAAAATACATTACAGTTGAACCTCTCTGAGTCGAACTTCAGGGGACCAGCTAAAAAAATTTGACTTGGAGAGGTTTTGAATTGAGCTAAAATACAAAGCCTTTTTTCTCCTGGGAAACATTGAAAAATTGCTCAAAATTTTAAATTGTGATATTCTGAGGCTGAAATTACTTCTTAAATGAGTTGAAAGCATCCTGAACTTGGAGGCAGGGTTCATTTGCCCAATTAGGTCTCACCTCATTTTAAAACAAATCAATTCATGATTTTATTGCTTTTTTTCTTTCTTGTGTCAAGAAAATAAAAACCAACAGGCCACAGATAATTCAAATTATGGAGGTTTGAGGGGAAAATACTTCCACTTAGGAAGGTTTTAAATGCATAAATTTGAAGTGGATTCAGACAAGACTTAAAACAAATTTGACTTAGGGAGGCTTGAGTCATTGAGGTTCAACTGTATTTTTAAAATCCTAATCTCTTGTCATTTCTGTTCACATTTTCAATTTAATCTAAAAAAAAACGAAATGTTTTCCTACCGTCACCAAAATATCTGTTCATGATTTGAGGTGAACAATCTGCTGCTGGGTCACTCGCTCAACAGTTGGGTCGCGCGGATGCTTCTGACAGAAAAGTGATGGGACGGGTGCCTATGGGTAATGTGCATGCTGAGAGCTTGCTTGATCAATACTGTACTGTATTTGGAACTTGTGTAGTCAATGCCTGCCATTTTTATTTGTGGGTATCATAACTGTGTATTGTTTTCAACAGTAACGCATACATTTTAATACGCATACATTTTTAACTATCAAACTAAATCATAAAATTGTATGTGCTTTTACATGCATTTTCAGAAGAAAAAAATGTTGAAGCATAAGTCCCAAATATGTAATATAGAACAAGAAGGTATACTGCAGTATGTAAAAAATTGTTTTAGATGTGTTTGTCAGGATCAACTTGGGGTATACATCAATTATATCAACATTATTTTTGTAAATGTAACTGACATAGGCTCAACACATTAATGTGTAAAGTTGGAATAAGACAACTAAATCTCAAAATAAATCGTGTTTTCTTGAAAAATGTCCTCTCAATTAGCAATTTTGAACAACAATGAGGACAAACTCACCTCCTTGGATGGAAGAAAGATTACAGTACAGTATTGGTCTGTATTAAATTCCAGAACACTAGGCCAATGTTCAACAGCAATACAGAGAAGCCCTCCACTGACCCATGGACATAGTGTCCTGAAATGTGATACTCTTCCTTCCATCCGGAAAAAACAAGTTTGTCATCGTTGTTTAAAATGTTTGTTGAGCAGAGAATCTACAAGAATAAAGGCAGTGACACTTAATGCATTGACTTTGGGAATTGTATGTGCAGCAAGTAAGGGAGGAGAGTCGTACCAACACAGCCCATTGCATTATGTCACAGATGCATTTATCCTTTATTGATAGAAAGGATTTCTTCACTAATTCAATTTTTCAGCCAAATCTGGACCATAAACTTCAACCAGGCTTGGGAAGACATACACACGGCTGATACATCAAGGTTGGACTGAAGTGAAGAAATGGACCCTAGGAGCTACAAGGAAGACAACAGTATTTGATGGAGGTAAATGTTTGAGCATTTAATTTCATCAGTGTTGAAAAAATAGAACATCTTGCACATTCTCAAATTATCAAGCATCAGAAAATACAGCATTCTTTCACATTGAAACCATGGAATAGGTCTTTTACTTACTTAAGCTCAAAATTACAGATAAACCAGGTTGATTCTCAAGACCGAACCTCTTTCTTGAAGACAACCGATTTTGTTTCCAGAATATGTAAAAATAGTTCTAGAAAAATGTGCGTTGCCCCAAGACTAGAGTACCATTCCAATTTACAAATGGATGAAAAATTGTCAAGACATTGATTCAATATGCAAACTCCATTCCTGAGTCAGTTTGACTTCAAATTCAACACTCATTGTTTTTGATAAAACTTCATAAATTCACAGATCAGTCAGAAAAGGGTACACTAAATGCTTTCTTTTTGCTCGTCATTTTCAAAATATGATCACCGCATTGGCACTTTTCAAGAACTCTCACTTCCGTGGTTGTCGCAGAGATTAACTTTTCCATAACATGCTTCATAAATCAAATTTGCATACAAATATACAAAGCAGCAGGAAAAAAAAACACAGACAAGATCACTTTCAAAATTGGCACATCACGCACGAACTGTATCCGTTATCCAATCCAGGTAAGTGCTAACTCTCGTATAGACCCCAGGTGCCTGGATCAACCCACAATAAGGGGTCCCAAATGAGACGACCCCGACTTGGAAAAACGACGTGCTCGTGTCGTCCTTTTGACCACCTATCACCAAAGGTCCTCCGCTATCACCTTTGCACGAATCCTTCCCCTCTTCACCCCCGGCACACAAGTGTTCTGCGCCAAAATCGACTCTTCTGAATGCTGGGGTTTCGCGGCACTTCGTCGCACTGATTATCGGAACCCGCAGCTGCTGAAGGATATTGCTTCCGTTATTCTTGAATTCTGTCGGGGGAATTACAGACGTAATTTTTGTTTCATTATTTTTGCGAAATTCGGTCATGCAGAGACTTCGACTCACCAACGCTGATTCGTCCCCATCCAGTCACAAAAAGGCCCGTGGCGGATGATAAGGCCTTATCTCCTTGGGCGTCTGCGTCCAATGGGTTGAACGGCAAACACACCGGAGATATTTTGTACTCTGAAAACCGGGGAATTGATTTGCATAAGTTACAGTGAGACCCAGACACGCAGGCGATTCGACTTGGGGACACTTGAAAGTCGAAAAACTCTGCCCCGACTTCTGGACGAAGTCTCAAGATCGAGAAAACTTCTCAACATTTATAGGAGAATTTAATTTACGAAACTTGGATCCCTCTTCGACAAGTTAGGCTATTTACATTCAGGAATTAAAAAAAATAAATCTCAATGTGATTTATTTGGTCATGGAAAATGGCTAATCATGTGTGGCTAGACTTGTTTTTGTTCTTTGCTTTTTGAGCTCCTCCTGATGCCAAAAGATCAGATTTGGTGTGGTTTCCTTCTGTACAGTTAGTTATTTTCTGCATTGTGAAGTTGATAGAAAAAATTTTATTCAATTTTTGGGACTTCATCCAGAATTTTCATGAACAGGAGAACCAATTGAATAATTTTCCATGGAAGTTTATGGGAAAACGTGATCCCACATACAGATGTTAAAAAAAAACGGGCAAAGTCTAAGCACCAATAATGTCCAGTGCAAGACAAACTGTGCAAGTACTGTACGTACTTTCTTGAGGAACCTTTGCTTCGCTTTTCAACCGGATCAAGGCGATGTCATTTTTCGCTCCTTTGTAAGGATGCTGAGTGAAATTCGGATGAACTTTGATTTCTTCCACTTCGAAGTCGAGGTATTCACTGCAGTCGTTGAACCGATCGCAGTCGGGATTGGTCCTCAAATCATGCTCACCAAGCCTCACGTAAGCCCTACAACAACAAAAAAGAAGGAAGGCACACACACACACACACACCTTGTAAGAAGCGAACAAATTTAAAATTTGACAAATTCGAGTAGCTACTCAACAGCCTGGGTGATCCTGAAGTGTCGATGCAATGAGCAGCTGTCAAAACATACCGGCTATTGATCAGGGATCCACCACAGCCATGCTTAATGGCACCACCCTGGACTGCGGAAATAAATAAAAAAATTCACGTTATAAAATTTTTTTCATTACAACTGATTTTTCCGTGTGAAACAATTTCATTTTCAAGAATTTTAAAATTGTGTTTCATCATAACGAAAAAGGACTATTGAAGAATTTCAAACTGAAGCAAAATGGACAACGCAACAGATTTTTCAGTGCGAAAATGTCTCATTCACCATTTTTTCTTTTGCTTCATCACAAAAAAAGCTAGCATTAATGACAACATTTCTCGAAGAAAACTTTCATTACCACGGATTTTTCAGTGTGACAATTTTTCCATGATGAACTTTTTTTTAACTTCTGCCTCATCAAAAATATTAAAAAGAAAACACACACACACACACACCTTGTAAGAAGCGAACAAATTTAAAATTTGACAAATTCGAGTAGCTACTCAACAGCCTGGGTGATCCTGAAGTGTCGATGCAATGAGCAGCTGTCAAAACATACCGGCTGTTGATCAGGGATCCACCACAGCCATGCTTAATGGCACCACCCTGGACTGCGGAAATAAATAAAAAAATTCACGTTATAAAATTTTTTCATTACAACTGATTTTTCCGTGTGAAACAATTTCATTTTCAAGAATTTTAAAATTGTGTTTCATCATAAAGAAAAATGACTATTGAAGAATTTCAAACTGAAGCAAAATGGACAACGCAACAGATTTTTCAGTGCGAAAATGTCTCATTCACCATTTTTTCTTTTGCTTCATCACAAAAAAGCTAGCATTAATGACAACATTTCTCGAAGAAAACTTTCATTACCACGGATTTTTCAGTGTGACAATTTTTCCATGATGAACTTTTTTTTAACTTCTGCCTCATCAAAAATATTAAAAAGAAAAGCAAGGAGTAATAACGGATTTTCAATTGAAGCAAATGGTCATTGCAAAGAGTTTTTTCAGTGCGAAAACTGTCGGAGGCATGATGAAACATTTTTTTTTTCACTCCATCACGAGAAATGAAAAAGAAAGACCAATAGAAAAATTTTCAACCGAAGCAAAATATTCACTGCTACAGATTTTTCGGCGAGATGATTTTTAAAAGAAGAAGCTTTCTTTTTGTTATTTTTACTTCATCTTTAAAAATATAAAACCCCAGGGACTAAAGATGTCCTTATATTACACACTACCTTCGTAGAACAGAAGGGCCATCCAGGGCCAGGCCCCCTGGGGGGCATCTTCGCCATTGACTATCCTGTTTGATAAAATGCCCCCGCATTCGTACTTTTTCGGATCAGGGAACAGGCTTCGCGACGTAGCAGCCGGATCGCTCGAGAAACCTCCATTCTCCAAGGGTTCAACTGGAGGTAAGGTTGCAGGTGGTGGTGGCCTGAATAAATAGAAAAAAACCAAAACAGAATTCTCACTTTACAATCGTCAATTAGTCCAAACGTTCTGGAAACAATCGCAATGCAGGTGCATTGTCGTCACACAAAAAAACATTCAGAGATACTGTATAGGTACCAAGGGAAAATTCATAGTTTTACAGCCAACGCTTCGTAATAATGAGATTTTCTCTAGAAATTTCGAACATTTTTATTGTTGTTGGAAATTCCATGTACCGGTACATTTCTTAAATAAAACCTTTGCTTTTTCGCAAATCTCAACATTTTCAAATAAAATACTCTACAGCTTCCGAACAGAATAAAAAAAAAAAAGGAATTGCAGAAGTAACGCAATCTCTTTGGTGAAAGTTATTATTTTTTCATCAAAAGCAATTTAAGATCAATTTGATCTACAGTATTAGTTTTTTGGGTGAACATTTTCTATTTTTTGTTGAACTTTTTTCTCCTCTTTTACTGAAAATATACTAGCAGAAATTAGATATCCCAATGATTTCAATAAAACGTGTGGAATAAACCACCAAAAAATAAATTTCTTTCATAGTAATTTATTTTAAAATTAGCCAGCCAGACAACCGAAGAGCTTCATCACGAAATAAATAATTGAAAATACAGTACATTCCAATAGCATGCTGACTCTTCAACAGGACCCTAGATGGCCTAGAAAACGAATTTGTCACAAGGAAATATTCGTTATAACGAGACTCTACAGTGCTGTACAATACTAAATCTGAAAAATGCTGTGTACAGTATTCAGATTTTTAGCGTTCTTCCCAGAGAAATTTCTGCCAGGATCTGCTGCTAAATTTGTTTCATAGAAGATTTCTCATAATAAAAATGTTTGTAAATTGATTATACAGTCATTAAAATTCTTCATGTAAAAATCGATATCACGAGAANGAAAGTTATTATTTTTTCATCAAAAGCAATTTAAGATCAATTTGATCTACAGTATTAGTTTTTTGGGTGAACATTTTCTATTTTTTGTTGAACTTTTTTCTCCTCTTTTACTGAAAATATACTAGCAGAAATTAGATATCCCAATGATTTCAATAAAACGTGTGGAATAAACCACCAAAAAATAAATTTCTTTCATAGTAATTTATTTTAAAATTAGCCAGCCAGACAACCGAAGAGCTTCATCACGAAATAAATAATTGAAAATACAGTACATTCCAATAGCATGCTGACTCTTCAACAGGACCCTAGATGGCCTAGAAAACGAATTTGTCACAAGGAAATATTCGTTATAACGAGACTCTACAGTGCTGTACAATACTAAATCTGAAAAATGCTGTGTACAGTATTCAGATTTTTAGCGTTCTTCCCAGAGAAATTTCTGCCAGGATCTGCTGCTAAATTTGTTTCATAGAAGATTTCTCATAATAAAAATGTTTGTAAATTGATTATACAGTCATTAAAATTCTTCATGTAAAAATCGATATCACGAGAATTCATTAAAATAAAAATCGACACACAGTACTAAAAACAATGAAAAAAAAAAACCGGATGTAATGAAAATTGTTGCTACAGGTGGTACCTCGCAATTTGACCCTAATCGGCTAATCCATTGCCAAAGTAGAGTCAAATTGCAAAGCGGTCAAATTGCGAGACACGTAAATATAAAAAATATCAATGCAAAAATGCGGAAAATGGCCGAAGCAGGTCGAATTGCGGGGTAAGGGTCAAATTGTGTGTCAATAACCTCCAATTTCAATTTTCGGGATGGTCGAATTGCGGGAGGTTGAATTGCGAGGTACCACCTGTATTGTGAAAAAGTGGCTTTCACGAAAAATTCTCTACAACCAAATATTATCATGATGAAAAAAATCTTCAAAAAGTAATCCCACCCTCAGTGCATCCTATCTCGACAACAAAAACAACAACAACAATCAATGCGCATCACCAAGTCTGAAACTCACGGTATGGGACAACAAACGTAAGCAGTTGAGCCGATGAGACGACAGATGGTTCTTCGCAAATATCCAATGTCACGCTCAGGACCTTTCAGAAACTGCAGTAGGTCGGGACAATCAGTCACTGGCACACATTCCCCCGGCTTGCCACTTTCCGTCGTCGGAAAACGTGGGGGAGTTTCGCAGGACCCCAGAGAATTTGCAAAGGCCTCACGCTTAGTGACACTGGCAAATACGACATCTAGGGAAGAAGAAAAAAACCAGAGCTTCTGGCTCATTTCCACTCTACCCAACATTATTCAGGTGGACACACACACTCTAGCTCTCCCTGCAACAAAATTGAGGGCACTGGAAACAAATATTCGCTGTAAATAGAATTTCGCTGTAGAAAACCTTTATATTGGACGAATCGAGGCCCCCATGGAATCTCAAAAAATCGTTGCAGAAAAAATAATAAAATAATAATGGATTACAACATTAATTTATTTCTAGTGAAACAAATTTATATCTATTTTAAACTTTCATCTCCTCTTATACTGCAAATATACCAGCAACATTCAGAGATCCTATTACCATCATTGCAATGGAATGTGTGCGAGAAACCACTGAAAGATTCATTAAAAATAATTTCTCATAACATCTCGACTGTTTGTCAGTTGTAGAGAGAATTTCGTTGAAGATAACCTCTATTGTATTAGTGGTGTGGAGACCCCTGATGCCATAAAGGGTCTCCACTAATACAGGGATATATATTTCCTTGTAACTATTTCTTTTATGGAATAAAAGAAATTCGCTACAGGGAAATTGTTTAGACAAAATAATAATGGTTTACAGTATTATTTTTTCAGAGTAAACAATTTAGACTTGTATTTTCTTTGTTACTGAAAATATACCGGAGAAATTCGGAAGTCTCCAAAATGGCAATGAAATGCGTGAGAGAAACCACAAAACAACTGATTAAATATACATTCTAATAAAATTTCGACTGATGATCACTTTTTGTGAACCTCTATACTGTATTGGATGAGTACAAGAGACCCAGGTATAGAATCAAAATAACTTCGTTATACCGTATGCAGAGAAAATCGATGCAGACAAAATTATTGTAGAGAAAGAAAGAGATTTGTTGCAACTTTGGGGGAAGTATAAAATGGTTTTTGTCAGCACGACTCACCTTGTCGTTCATTCCTCGCACTGGCTTCACTGACACCGAAGAGTGACACGCACAACGAAAACAAAAAGACACGTTTCACCAACTCCGACATCATGTTCTTTATACACAACATGACTTCACTCAGACTCACGCAACCAGATCATTGGGTATTTCCGGTTTACGAGGCAGTCAATTCATGTCCCCGGCGACCCGAGCATCTCTGCTTAAAATCACTGCAAAATGTGCGACTGCCAAAATAGAGCGAAACCTGTCACGTAATAGTGTGAAATAGAAAAAAAAAACAATCCTCAAGGAAATGCGCTCTCTTTTAGATAGAATAATGATGTCCAAAAGGCTTCTAAAACTTGAAGTTACCGAGGTTTCAAGAGGAAAGACTCTGAGTTAGGAGGCTTTGTATCCGTTTTTTCCAACCTCTTTGGGCCTGCAGATTGGAAAATTTCCATGAACCTTTTTAGCAGACCAGCAAATTTTCAACAAATTTTCTGCTGACCTACAAAGTTTCAAGAAATATTTGCAGACTAAAAATATTGTTGTTTGAATGACTGTATGGCAGGCATCTAAAATATTTCTGCTTTTTTTGTTGCAAAAATCAAATTAGAACCATTGAAGCAGCTGAAATAGAATGTCCTAAAAATTAGCAAGTTAGGCTTGAAAAAAGGTTTCTCAAAATGAAACATTTTAAAAATTCATTTCAGCGGGTGAACATTTGTAACAATTGTATTATAAAAATGTATCTAAAACCCTGAAAGGAAGCTCGAATTTAGGATGTGCACAGGTGCAGATATTTTTGTCCTTCCTGCACTCAAGCCCAGCCCCCCTGAGGCATCACCACCTGTTGGGGGCCAGGACAGAGTTGAAAGCATCCTTGGGAGCAG